CTACTTCGGTACATCATGAAGAACATATTTGGTATATGATTCCTGGTTTTTTTCCATACTTCTTGGCCAACTATTCACCAGAAGAGCGACAAAGTTAGCTAGCCATGGGGAGTGGGAGCAGGTATACATTATGTTCATCAATGTGGTTCAAACAGAGGTGGATGAAAAGATAACTAGACAGTCCTGGCAGGTTCTCAGGAAGGGCACAGATGCAAGAAAGTTCGGGAAACCATGGACCGCATGAACCCGCTAAAGGAAACACAGCTTCTTAGAAGCTTGGAATAGAAAGACATTAAAAGAAAAACTCTTAAGAATGCTGATCTTTTTCAGAATGACAATATTTTGATTGGAAAAATTTCAAATCTATCAAATCAACAGGTAAGCAGTAGTGAAACAGTAAGTATGAGAATAAGATACATGAAATTAAGAGTCAGAATAACCAGTGGCCCCGTGGAAAGAAAAGGCAGTATCTGTAGCATCATTCTGGTTGATTTATTTTTGTGCAAAGCAAGCATGAAGGACAAAAAGTGAAGTACCATCACGTGCCATTTAACGATGGCACATTCTGAGAAATTCATCATTAGGCAATTTCTTTATTAGCGAACATCGCACTTACACAAACCTAGATGGCACAGCCTACTATACCTTGGCTAGGTGGTATAATCTATTGTCCTAGGCTACAAGGCTGCACACCATGTTATGGTAAAAACATGAGATTAAATCAAGCGCAGGAGAAAACAATGCAATTAACAGACGTAAACACAAGACGTATGAGGCTGCTATGTAACGCAGCATAGTGTTTTACAGCAAACTTTTTTAGTAGAAAGTATATTCTAAAATAATAAAATGTATAATAAATATATAAACCAGTAACATGGTTATTACAAGGTATGTACTATACATCATTATATATGCTATACTTTTAAATGACTGGCAGCACAGTAGCTTTGTTTACACCAGCATCACCACAAACATGTGAACAATGCATTGAGGTAGGATGTTACCATGGCTATGACATCACTAGGTGACAGGAGGAATTTTTCAGCTCCATTATAACCTATGGAACCGTCATTGTATGTGGGTCCATCATTGATGGGTCCACCTTGACAGAAATGTTACGTGGAACATGACTGTAATAGGTAAGCCAACTACATACACACTGTAGAAAACAATGGAACAAGCAGGGATAAACAGGAAAAACAGGCTAAAATCTGACTCAGAAAATAAGCTGCTTAGGAAGCCAAGAAGACTAACTAGTTTTCAAATGATCTGATTTCTCAAGAGTAACACCTGGGCATGGAGCTGAAGAAAAAAACAAGTCTTTTTTTTTTTTTTTTAAAAAGGAGGGAGGGATAATGGAATAATGAAGAGTATTATCAAACAGTCATAAATATTGGCGTCACTAGGCCAACTAAATGAATTTAAATGCCAAAAAATAAATGAAACATTGTTAAAGCAAAAGCTAAGGTAAGATAGTGCTTCAGGAAGGCAAGTCTCTGAAATGCCTAGTCATTTAGCAAGATTTTCAACGACTGGAAAGCCACTGCTGCTTCAATCTCAATTCCCAACCAACCCCACACCTACTGATTTCAAAAATAGTTTATAGAATCTTCCATGTTGGTCTCATGAATAGAATGGAAAAATGTGGTGGGAGGAAAGTACACTGAGCTAAATCTACAGTAGCCTGAACAAGGTGTTCATAGTACCCTTGACCTTGTACTACTCAACATGATTATCAATGACCTGAAGACACGAATGGTAAACTAGGCATGCAAGCAGAATGGAGTGGGAAAGTGACAGCTGACATCACTGAATGCATACTCATTCCCTCCCTACTACCTCCTTTTCTGCCTAGATCAGCATTTCCCAAAATGTGTTCCACAAAACACTGACCCTGGAAATGAGACTGAAAAATGGTTTCCCAAATTCAAAACATTTGGAGAATTCTGCATTTCTGTTCTTTGTAGTTTATTAGCACATCAAAAGTTCTGAGAAATCCCATAATAAACAAACCTCTTGATTTAACTTAATGTTTCCCAAATATTAGCTCTTGAAACACTTTCACTAGTAATCATTAACTGAAGATGACCTAAAGTTTAGGCCCTAAGCTATGTTCAAATTTTCTGTGCTAAATGATGATTCAATCCCTTTAAGTGACTAATGCCCTATCACTCTTCTTCCTCCAACTACTATTAAAAAA